GAACTTGGACTTATCCGGTCCGGACTACACGAGGCTATGCGTCTCCTAGCGCTTAGCTGTAGTCGCTTATGTAGTATGTTACCATATTTGGGACTCTCTGCTCGTGTACTATAGCTATGCTTCCGGACTCTTCTGGTACTGTCTAGGACAATCCGTACTACTCCAGAACGGTCTAGACAGGTCTATGCCTTACTCATCTATTACTCATCCTATGGTGCGATACGTTGCAATTCTTTCGTCGTTGTATTATTCATTGCACTATGGTACATGTGACTAACCACTCTTTGATTAGTCATGGACACTTCTCTGTAGTATATAAGGACTTCAGATTGCGTCCTCCCTCTTCGGTGTTTCCTTACTGACTGAAGAGTGAGTACTTCGTTATCTTTACCTCTAACTTGTAGTTACTTACTTAACCTTTGTAGTCTTGCTTCGACTCTAGGTACAGTTGGTTACTACAATATAGTCTTTCCTTACTGACTGAAGATCTTGCTTCGACTCTAGTCAGATCTAATTTTTGTCTTCACAGCCCCGAGTTTATCAGGTTATGAGCCCTGCGCTCTGACCGAAGTTTCGTGTTGACGTTTATCACTGTGCGCACCCATTATCCCTCTCTGTCGACACTCGGTTCTGCCCGTGCATCCCCTCCACTTTCCTAAACTCTTGACTGTGCCCGCCGACACTGCTGCCATGGTGACTTTGCACAGTTGTGCCCGTGAGCGCTTTTAGTTGTCATGGACGTTGCACAGGCGCCCCTTTTTGCCACCCACTCCCTTCCCTTTGACGCCCACCTTCCATTTTCGGACCATTTCCTTTCCTAGCCCATCCCAGTTAGGATACTGCAGATACGTTCCCACCACCGCATGCTACGTTCCCGTGATTGCCATGCCCTTGCCTTTTCTTTCTCGCCCTTTGTTCTCTCTTTGTCATCTTCACTGCCTCGCTCTCGCACCTTATTCTTGGTTGCTAAGCAGCCCCTCTAGTATATAAGGACCCCCTTAGGCGCTCCCTAGTCCCCATCTCGACCTCTTGGTCATTGGGACTAGGTGAGTGGCCATAGCGTTGTATTTCTCTTCGAGTGCTAATGTATAACTTGGTCATTGGGACTAGTCTGTCGCTCTCTGCGTGAAGACTAGCTTCGTAGGTCTCGTGCCTTCGTGCCGACCTCCGCTCTGCCCTCGTCGAGTTTTCTGTCACGTTTATCCCTCTCCCCCTCCCTTTTCCCTTTCGGCTCCTTGCCGCTCGCCTACGGGGTCATCGCCAAACGTCGACCTGAGTCTACGCGCCTAGTCACTGCGACATTAGGTCGAGATATCTCCCCCGGTGCTGACGCTCTGAACAAGAGTGTCCCCGCCGCCGTACATTGTCTCCCCCACCCTGGACTGCACCGGCAGACTTCACGCGTGGGACACCGACGACCAAGAGTACTGCCACCGACGAAAGGACCCAGACGACGGACTCTGGTACTGGGAACCGTGTGAGCAAAACCCCTGCCTGAACCGTCATCACTGTCCTACTCGGATCAACTGGAACGCCTTTGCGAACGAGTTCATCCCAGTCCCAGACTCCCCCGTTGCTGAGTCACCTACGACTCGATCCCCCATCCCCGGTACTCCGACCGACGAGCTCAAAGTAGTGCTACTCATCGCGCTTCCACCCTCCCCTACTCCTCCCCCAACTCGACCGCCATCCGCTCCACCCATCATGAGACAACAAGGTGGACAACCGCAGATGACAGGCCCCGTCAACAACCCCCAACAGGCCCAACCGGGCACCCAGACGGCAACCCAACCCCCGGACCCCATGGCGATGCTCGTCCAGTCAATGACCCTCCTCACCCAGTCTATGGCCCAGCTCACTGCCTCGACCACTGGGACCAACAGTCTGAAAGCGGTTCAGAAGCCCTCTCCCTTCAAAGGCAAACAGGGGGGCGAAGCACGACGCTTCCTGGCCGTGTTCACTCTCTGGACCATGTCCCAAGGATCAACGCTCAACCACGTGGACGCCACGGGCAACGCGATCAGCGCGCGTGATGACCAGTGGATTTGGGCAGTCCTCTCCTTCATGCAGGACAGTGCGGCTCTCTGGGCCACTCCGGCGATGGAGGAGATCACGCAGGGCACCACTCCATTCAAAAGCTCGTGGACGGAGTTCCGCACCCAGTTCAAGGCCCGTTTCGAGACAGTCAACGAGGCGGTCGACGCGAAGGAACGCCTCCGCACGTTGTGGCAAGGCTCCATAACTGTCCCGGAGTACGCCGCACAGTTCAACGAGCTCTCCACCCACACGGGCTACTCCAAGGCCGACCTCCGAGACCGCTTCTACGAACACCTGGCAGACTCCATCAAGGATGAGTTGGTGCACACGGCGAGGCCCATCGCTTCTCTAGAGGACCTCATCACCGTCTCCTCCGACATCGATGTCCGTGTCTGCCAGCGTCGTGCCAAACGGGATCGTCAGCGTGGACGTACCGCCACCACCACAGTGACCAAGCCGGCAGTTCCACTGCACACCACCCCCTTCACGCCGCCTACTAGAGACCCGAACGCAATGGACATCGACGCCACCCGCACGCGCGAAGAGTTCAACCGCCTCATGCGTGGCAAGTGCTACGGTTGCGGCTCTACGGCGCACGTCAAGAAGGACGGCGGCCACGATCGGGACATCTGTGGCTACTGTCGCCGCGTGGGGCACCGCAAGACGGTATGCATGGACAAGTTCCTGAAGAAGCCCCGCTCGCAGAAGCTTGCTGCAACAGAGGAGGGACCCGAGGAGCCTCAGGTCGCAGCGTCGACGTCGACGTCCGCAGATGCTGGAGCGACCAACGCTCTCATCGCGCAGCTCATGGAGCAGCAGAAGGCCCTCGCTGATCAGCTCGCCTCTCTGCAGAAGTCTTTTTAGAGCGGGCGCGCGTGAAAGCTGCCGCAGCGGCGCCCTCCGGTATGACTATGGACTCTTCGCCTCCCCAGATCCCTGACCCCTGCCTGTACGATAGTGTTAGTTCGTGTATCATTCCCGAAATTAAACCCGTCCAGCTCGCATTTCCGTGTCAGTGTGATACTCAAAGGCAGAAACCGTAGTATACGTTCCACAGCTATGATAGACAGTGGGGCAACGGCCCTTTTCATCAGCCACCGTTTCGTAAAGAAGAACAATGTTTACTTACATAGACTAGCTAGAGACATCCCCCTCTACAACATCGACGGCTCCAAGAACAGTGCAGGCAGCATATCCCATTACGTTAGATTACAAGTACTTATGGGCGACTACACAGAATGGCTCGAGTTCTTAGTTACAGACCTGGGCCCTGAAGACGTCGTACTAGGTTTACCTTGGCTTCGTAGAGTCAATCCGGACATTGACTGGCAGGAAGGCACCATGGAGGTTGGTGCGGAGGAAACAGAGGCCGAGGCGGAATGGAAACCCGGTATTGAGCGGATCGCCGCCAACCGGGTGCAGTGAAGGAAGTGATGGAAGGCCAAGGTTCTGGAGGACACGACCGAGGAGTTGTGGTGCGCCGCGGGGTACACCTACTCCACTGAGCTCGCACAGAAGGCCAACCAGGACAAGCTCAAACGCACGTTTGAGGAGATCGTCCTGGAGGAGTATCGACAGTACTCGAAGGTGTTCTCGGAGGCGGAATCAGAACGCCTCCCAGAGCACAAGCCGTACGACCATGCCATTGACCTCAAACCCGACGCCCCAGAAACTCT